AAAAAATAGTTAAAAATAAGTAATAAGTAAAATAACAAGCATTAAAAATAGTAAATGAAAAACAAGTAGTAATTAAAAAAAAAAAAAGTCATAAAAATATAGTAAATAAAAGTAACAAAAATAAGCAATAAATAAAATAGGTGATAAAATAAGTAATAAACGTAATACAGAAAATAAGTAATAAATAAAAAAATATAATTCAAAGTAATAAACAAGTAATAAATAAACAAGTAAAAAAGTAATAAATGAAAAAGAAATATTAAATAAAAAAGTAATAATAACATAATGTAAGTCATACATAAAAAGTAGTAATAAAATAAGAAATAAATAAAAATGTAATAAAAAATATGTAATACAATAATAAATTAAAATAAGTAATAAAAATATGCAATTAAATAAAGTAATAAATAAACATTACTACATTTATCAGTTTTAATGAATTGCATTTAAATTTAACTAATACATTCATTTATTAATAAAACATATAAAAAATAAAACACTGCTCCGGGTGTGTTTTCACGGTGTGTGTGTGTTGACTGCTGTTGAGAGCTGAAATGGATGATGACATCACTGAATCATCAATCAGCTGACCTTAGCTGGAAAAATGACTCTGTTATTGTCTTCTTGCATTATTGAAAATCTGTTTTCCTGCTTGACACTGTAAAGCTGCTTTGACACAACCAGTATTGTATAAAGCGCTATACAAATAAAGGTGACTTGACTTCTCGACGACCATCGGCACAAGACCACTGGGAACCTGTGGTCCTGAGTCCTCTGCACCTGTGTTGCAGCCTGGAATTAAACCATGCCATGCTGGTTTCGTCTGGCCACAGGAGAACTGGCCCCCCGACTGAGCCTGGTTTCTCCCAAGGTTTTTCTCCATTTGGTTCCTTGCCACTGTCGCCTTTGGCTTGCTTAGTTGGGGACGCTTGACTGATTGCACAGACACTATTGGAAGAGAGCTGAAATGGATGATGACATCACTGAATCATCAATCAGCTGACCTTAGCTGGAAAAATGACTCTGTTATTGTCTTCTTGCATTATTGAAAATCTGTTTTCCTGCTTGACACTGTAAAGCTGCTTTGACACAACCAGTATTGTATAAAGCGCTATACAAATAAAGGTGACTTGACTTGACATTGAGAGTGGCACATATTCTCTCGTCTCACGGCAGCTTTTGGTGCATGGGATGGGAATTCTTTTTGGACAGTTGGTAGTGTTTCGCCTCTCTTGTCCTTTTGGGGGTTGTACCAGGGCCATAATCACTATAGACATTGAGGGGGACAATAATTCCCCCCAATAGTTAGAAATGGTCAAATTGTCCCCCCAATATTGTAAGCTCTTGGAGTGTTCTGCTGCACACAATTATGCAACGCTCTGTTTGTTGTTCGGACGATAAAAAAGGCTCAACAATGACGTTTTTAGGCTGGTCAGTGGTCTAATAGCACTCGTCACTGTCAAAGTAATTGAGATGACCAATTAAATCAAAGTATTAAGTAAGTCAAAGGTTTACTGTTCACAGAAGCAGAGCGTGAATTCCAGTTCAAAGTGTCAGTTTTAACATTGTAAGAGCGAGGCATGATGGAAGTAGCAAAACATTTAATATTAGTCAACTGTTTTACGATAGATAGCCTATGTTAAACTGCCCACAGTAATATCCAGTGGTGCAAACTACTTAACTTTTCCGTTAATGTCCGTTTTTAATTAAAATATGATATAATTTACATGATTTATTTAATTCCTAACTGAATGTGACAAGACAAACATTTTGCATTCTGAATATTCCGAACATTTTGCATTTTTGACACATTAGGCATATAAATAAGAGTGAACATGCAGATTTTAAAATATTATTTGCAAATAGTTCAAAATGATTATTTCCATGCTAGAATTAGACCTAGCATTTTCTTCACTGCTCTATTCCTTTATATTTGATAAAAAAGTAAAAAATAATTAAATACATAATAAATAAAAAAGTATTGAATAAAAAACAAGTAATAAAAATAAGTAATAAATGAAAAACATAAGTAATAAATAAAGTAACAATAAAAAAGTAATAAATAAAAATAAGTAATAAAAATTAATAAATAAAAAATAGTTAAAAATAAGTAATAAGTAAAATAACAAGCATTAAAAATAGTAAATGAAAAACAAGTAGTAATTAAAAAAAAAAAAAGTCATAAAAATATAGTAAATAAAAGTAACAAAAATAAGCAATAAATAAAATAGGTGATAAAATAAGTAATAAACGTAATACAGAAAATAAGTAATAAATAAAAAAATATAATTCAAAGTAATAAACAAGTAATAAATAAACAAGTAAAAAAGTAATAAATGAAAAAGAAATATTAAATAAAAAAGTAATAATAACATAATGTAAGTCATACATAAAAAGTAGTAATAAAATAAGAAATAAATAAAAATGTAATAAAAAATATGTAATACAATAATAAATTAAAATAAGTAATAAAAATATGCAATTAAATAAAGTAATAAATAAACATTACTACATTTATCAGTTTTAATGAATTGCATTTAAATTTAACTAATACATTCATTTATTAATAAAACATATAAAAAATAAAACACTGCTCCGGGTGTGTTTTCACGGTGTGTGTGTGTTGACTGCTGTTTGTGTGCACTTTGGGTGGGATAAATGCAGAGCACTAATTCCTAGTATGGGTAACCATACTTGGCCACATGTCACTTCACTTCACTTCATATTAATATTTTTACCACAATCTATGCAGGAAAACATGCACAAAACCAAATTATTATTATTTTTCTAAACTATCTTTTTTTTTAACATTAACATTCATGCATTTGGCAAATAGTTTAATCTAAAGTGACTTACATTGCATTTAAGGTACACTTTTAAAAATAAAGCATTATAATAAACCATTATGGGCATCTGTCGTCCCAGTTAGGCTTTAGTTAAGCTTTTTGTTCACATATTCAGTCCAGTCAGTTAATAAGCATGCATGTTTTTCAGTCAGACATCAAAATCATCTTTTTTCATAATAATCCAGGAAAGTTTCCCAGATGGAACTCATTTAGTTCATCCTTAATAAAGTACAATATCATTTCTAAAGTGACTCCTGATGATATTTTCTCCAAGCACTCTTTATCAGCAGGACTCTTCTCTTTTTTCATGCTTTTTTTCATAAACGTTTAGCTCAATGGTTCTCAACTAGGGCCCACTAGAGGCCCTCCACAGACATGTAAGAGGGCCTCAAGATGACTTTAAATGATTTAAAATAAGACATAACAAGCACTGAATAACTTAAACCATTTAAAAACTAAAATCATAGGGCATAGGCGAAATTTTTTATTACAGTTAACTACTTTACTTTACTCCAGGGTATTCCTGCATACTGAGAAATAATGAACCTTTGTCCTCTTTACACTCTGATACTTCATTAAATTTAAAATCAATAAAAAATTATAAAATAGAAGATCCATTTTATTTTGCGTCCAGACATTATACAGCATCTGTCCTTCTATTCTCTCTCTCAGTACAAAGACAATTTAATAAATAACAAACTTAAAAACTACTCGTTTTCTATTCTATTTCTACTTAGTTTTTAGTCTACTTCCACTTTCTGTAGGATCTAGATGATGCTGATCGTCTACTCATGTCAAGATATTCAGAAATCCACTGCAAGATTCCCTCCAGAGACTGCTGGACTAAGACTGACAGCAGACGATAAACTTTGAACAGACCTTCATGAGTGTCCAGCAGATGACTAGCAGATGATCTGATGATTTGCTTGGCTGATAACCAGTTAACCTAAATGTTCTCAATCCTGGGAAAGAGACATCGATCTAATGATGATACCCTGTTCACCATGAATTCATAATGCCCTGCAAAGTCACATGCAGTGAACTGTCCAATATGTGTTTTTTTTTTTTTATTATAATTTTCCAACTTTCAAAGCAACAAGCTTGGAGTGTTCATAGCTACTAACTGTAATGATTCAGTCCACTGAAGGCGAGTGTAGTGAGAACCCATGTGCAGTTTTATTTACAAGTGATCCAAAAAATAAACGAAGACTTGACGAGGCATGAACAGACTTAACTCATCGACAATAGATTACAACATCAATACACAACGAGAGACAATGGCAACATGAGGGCTACTTATACCAAACACTAAGGGTCACAATACACAAACCAACCAATGAGGAAACAAGACACATGCCTAGGACAACCAATCAGAACATGACACATGAACCAAAGAACCAAACAGAACATAGCACACAGACAAGGGAATCACATGACAGAACAAGGACCATGACTAAACTCCAAAATAAAAGACATGAAAACATGAACATGGAACAAAACCCAAACCCGGGGCAACCAGGTAAGCATTATTTAAATTCCTTAATGACACAGGGTTAATGAGCAGAATTTGAGTACACTTAAAATGACATGATGTTACACACTCGTGTACAGTAGGTGGCGGTATGCACCTAAAAGTTGTTTGCAATCCGCCATTAACTAAGAGAAGAAGAAGAAAAACCCAAACCCCACATTACACTGACATAGAACTATTTATCTTAAAATTAGCTTAACATAGAACTACAGAAACTACTTAACTTAAAATGACCCTGTGTTAACAATTGCGAAAAATTATTGCACAAAAAACACATGCTTGTTTTTATGTTTATTTAGCAAATATAAATCTCATATAAATCTTTCATATAAAAAAATGAAAGCAAGAAAATCATCGTCTGTTTTGGCAAAAAGACAGACACTATTATATAAGACAAAGAATACATTGTATTTAAATCTATCAGTCAAACACTATTTTATTCTATTGGTGCTGCACAGCAATTATATAATGTAGCAATGAATTTAGAGCAGTTTCACCTAGAGCTGTGTTAAACAAGTGCTCACAAGTTTGCTTATAAAAACATTGGACCCCATTGACTTTCATTGTATGGACAAAAAAACTGATACATTTTTGAAAATATATTTGTGTGTGTGTGTGTGTTCCACAGATAAAGGTTTAGGTTTAGGTTAATAATTCATTTTTATGTGTGAACTATCCCTTTAAATAATTAGTTATTGAGGCTGACCAGACTGTAGAGGATAGTTTTCCAGTTGAGATTGTGCAGGTTGATTTGGGACTGATGTCTGGTTAATGTTACGCTGCTGATCTATAACAGAAACAAAGAGCATTATGATCACTCAAGAGTATCTGCAGTGTCTCTTTAGTCTGATATTCAGATCTTCTCATGAGCCTTTACTCAGAAACGTTATTGTTGCTGTTCAGTTGTATTAATCATGTTATGAACTGCTCCACACCTTTGTTCTTCTTGTATCTCCACATCAGCAGCAGTGAGAGGAAGAACAACAGGCAAACACTCAATCCCACAACCACACCAGCGACCAGAAGAGAAGATGAAGCTGCTGAGACCGGAGAACATGACAAACATGCAGATCTGATCATGAGTGACATACTGTATTATAATATTACAAAAGTACATGAAATCACTCATTATTTCAAGACGTCTGACTTTACTCCCTATGCCCCTGCTGATTATAACATTAATTTCATCAGAAAGATTGCATTTATGTTTATGCATCCAGCACATTCTAATAAACCTTGTCTGCTTAAAAAGGACGTGTGTTGAAACCCCCAAAGCTGATAATTAATTATTTTTAAATGCATCCGTGCATATATTGTAGTGCCTGAAAATGTTGAACAGGTGAGTGTTTATCACAGTATTTACTCACCATTAACAGACAGATTTATTCGTTCACTCTCCTGTGATGATTTTGGTCTTTCATCTCTCTGTCCTCTACACCAGTACTGATCCTGATCAGACTCATTCAGTCCTCTGATAGTGACAGTGTCTCTGTTTACAGTGTAACGCTCAGACGTCTGTAACATTACACTGTTGTTTCCGCCTTTATACCACTCATATCTCCAGTTACTGTGAGACTCAATCTTACACGTCAGATTGACTGTGTCTCCAGTGAATACAGGACTGTCTGGTGTCACAATCAGTGAAGATCTGGGTAAATCTGTAAAATATAAAAGCAGATAAAAAAGTGTGAGGCCTACAATGAAGTGTCATATCCTTTTAATCTTTGCATGTAACATCTTGCACTTTACTGTAAGCTTGTAGATTAAGTGTTAACTGAATGCAATAACTGTCTATTATACATCTATTGTTTTCTCAGAAAAATTTCTATTTTCATGCTGTTATGAATAAATAAAATTGTTCAACTAATACTTTTGGTCTAACAGCCATATCAATAATTTAATGGTGATTTGTGTCCTTTTTAACAGTCTCTGATCCTCATTCACTGTCAATGAAAAGAGACGCCAGGATATTCAGCTGTAAATAATGCCATCGTGTTCTAGGGAAGAAAGTCATACAGGTCTGTACAAATATGAGTGTGAGTAAATGATGACATGTTTAATTTGTTAGGCAAACTATTACTCTAATTATTGAGAAATGGTTTAATTTTTTTTTAGAAAGTTAATCTGTAACCTTATGAAGTTAAAATTTTCAGGCACAAATAGGATGAAATACATGCCATCATCAGAGTGACATTCATTATTGAGGTGAAGCTTTTAAACAGTGTACGCTGCCATCACTGTACATATTGTGCCTCTATCACTTTAATTCAGTGCTGAAAACAAAGTTTGGTTACTTATACAAAACTGACAACTGCATTCTGAACTGAATTTAGCTGCAGTATATACTTGGCCATTGTGTTCATCACCTGAGATTGAGGGGTTTGGTTCAGCACACAACTGTATGACCCTCACTATGTCTAAGTTTCTCCATAGAATGACTGACTACATTTACTAAAATGTGTAATGCATAATAATTATCAACCACAGAGACCTTTCTTTAAAGTTTTATCAGACTTCCAGTTTGAATTAAGTTTGCAAAATAACCATTTTTTGTTGTTGAGCTGAAATCTGGATGCTGTATGTGTTCATGTAGTAGTAAGGCTGGGTGATATGGCCAAACATATTATCACGATAACATTTTTTATATCAGTTGATAAAAATAATTATCATGATAAATTTCAAATCTTTATTTCTTTCAAGTTTAAAGGCAGATTTCTGCTCCATAAGTGAAAGTTGTAGAAACCAGACCATTAATTGTGGTTTTAAACTACTCTTTATGTGCAAAACATGACAAACACTTCACGTTTTGGAATACTTTACACTTTCCAGTCATATTTTCTTAACAAAATAATTATTTTAATAGAAACAAAAAATAATGTATTAGTTTCTGCATGTTCTAATGAGTGATATTGTATCAAATTATGAAACAGGTTTGTGTTGCCTGACTTTGACATGTATATTCAGCTCAGTTTGCAGTGCAGGCTGCAATAATAATATTTATTTATTTTTTTTGTCTCTTAGAAATGCACATTTGGCTTGAGTTAGGATGCAGATGTAAATTTATGTCCATTATCAAAATTAGCAACATCTGTAAAGATTCTAACTACCTAATTTTATATGGTGACATTTAATTATTCTGACTGTTTGACTTTTATTAAAATTAACCACTGTTCTAGATCATCATAACCACAGTTAAAACCACACATACAGCACCTCAATACCATGGTAAAAATGTAACGTCTCAGTTTCCCTGAAGGAGGGAACGGAGACATCACGTCGTGACCGACGAATTGGGATCTCGCTTCGAGAGACCAATCTACTACGAGTGTAACTAAACTAGTTAATGCACATTGGCATGCAATTATTGCATCCAGCTGCTGCTGATCACAGCGTGAGCATAAAAAGGCAGCCGGTGCAATGCATACCAGGTTCTTGCTGAGGAGCCGAGCCGGTGACCCGGCTGCTCAGCGGTGGTACAGCAGCCATGGCGACGGGACGTGACGTTTCCGTTCCCACCTTCAGTGAACGTGGGTTACATACGTAACCGAGACGTTCCCTTTCAGTCGGTCACTACGAGTCACGATGTGACTGACGAATTGGGATTCCCTACCAAAGCGCCATGGATGCTGCCCCTTCCAGTGCCCTGTGCGAGCCCCTGCACCCCTTTTTGGTGTAGGCCGGGGCTCGCAACAAGAAGACCATTCATCGTTGTCGTAGCACTACCCACTCAGTAAGCCGACACTAACCGGGGCCTCTCAGTGCCTCTACCCGTTTTAGGTGAGAACACAGGAGGATACCGGCTCCATATGAAGGCTACAGAATCTAGCGAACGTATTGGGGGTCGTCCAGCCCGCAGCTCTACAGATATCTGTCAGCGCCCAGGAGGATGCAACACTCCTAGTAGAGTGAGCTCGCAACCTGAGTGGGCAGGGCAGACCCTGTGCCTGATAAGCCAGGGTGATTCCGGCCCAAAGTCTAGGCACGAATCGCCGACCGAAAATGCATGCAGGTCCCCTACCCTCTTGATGGAGGTCAGTGCAAGCAGGAGCAGAGTTTTCATTGATAGAAACTTCGAGCCAGTGCTGAAGCGGTCTCATATGAAGCAGCCCCAGCGGTATATATTACGACTGCCACCGTAGATGCCATATGCCCCAGGAGCCTCTGAAATTGTTTCAGTGGGACCACCACCCTGCTCTTGAATGTATTCAAGCAGTTCAACACCGACTGAGCACGTTCCTGCGCGAGGCGTGCTGTCTGTTCGACCGAGTCCAACTCCATACTGAGAAAAGAGATCCTCTGCGTCGGGGAGAGTTTGCTCTTTTCCCAGTTGACCCGAAGGCCCAAGTCCAACTCCATACCGAGAAAAGAGATCCTCTGCGTCGGGGAGAGTTTGCTCTTTTCCCAGTTGACCCGAAGGCCCAACAGGCTGAGGTGCTCTTTTTGAGAGCACCAAATCCCTGTGTTCGCACAATTAATCCTGAGACTGAGCGAGTACGAGCCAGTCGTCGAGGTAGTTGAGAATACGAATGCCCTGTTCTCTCAGGGGATCAAGGGGTGCCTCTGCAACTTACGTGAAGACACGGGGCGACAGGGACAGCCCGGAGGGCAGGACCTCGTACTGATATGCTTGGGTACAATGAAGTAGGAGCTGTAAAACCCCGTCTTCATATATCGGCTGGAAGGACCGGCTCTATCGCATCCTTCGCCAGTAGGACTGCGATCTCCGCCCGCAAGACAGGACCATCGGCCGCCTTCACTGTTGTGAAGCGGATGCCACTGAACTTGGGGGGACGCCGGGCGAACTGAATCGCATAGCCGAGGCTGATGGACC